CTGAAATTTGTATAATTGTATAGTACTAGTACTATTAATTACTGAAAAATCAGCATGTTTTGATTCGAGTGAAGGTTAATTTTGTTTATGTGGGGGCGTTTTAAATAATCACTCTTTATTTAGGGGCACTAACGCACGTGTGACGACTTTTCCAAACAAACACAAACGAAGACTGATGGGTCCCGCAAATTATGGCAATGTTACAAAATCGAGTTTACGTGAAACTTATGAAATGATTACTTCTAAACCATAGATAAAACAAACACATACTATTTGATTATACGTAAAACTATGAAAATATATACAAATCCTATACAGCTAGGAGTATTATATAGGCTTTTATAATTTGGTTTGACTCGACTATTGTAAAGTGAACGTCAACGAAAAACGTTGTAAGATAAATATCGGAATTTCGGACGAGCAAAATAAAAAAATAATGAAAAACCAAACAAGGCGAAAATTAAAGTCATTCGCACTGTTGAGATGACGAAACGATTCAATGTACAAGCGACATGAACAATTATTGGAGAAAGTAAACGAATTAAGCCAAAATTACAATATGTGTATACTAACCAAACCCCTTAATAATCCAGGAAATAATTCAGTTAGATGAACTGAATCAGACAGTCTATATAGCTGGATACACTTCGAAATCAAATGTCTTTGTATATGTAACGTATCAGAAAAACAGGCAATGTCGTTGGTTAGAATTATTATGTTAAGCAATAATTAATGTCCTTAACTAATTAATACTACTAGCTATGCTTTTGTATTATTGTATACATCACCCTTAAATTAATTTCCGCTATATAACAGAATGTTTTTCTTTATGTCAGAAATTCTTTTGATTAATCTTTTATGAGAACGAAAATATCTACCGTTTAAGACTTGATTAGCAATCATAATCTGATCAATTATCTTGTACTAGTATATATACTGTATATATGAAATGATTCTATGGTTTCGATTGGTTACCACGTTTGCAAACGAGGTACCTTTCAACTGCCCGTTTGTTACCAATCAAACGATCGTTTGAACGGATGGTTGAAACGGTCGTTTGCAACTTCGTTTGCAAACGGACTTTTGATAAAAAATGTCGTTTGAAC